ATTGCCTAGCACAGAGAACACCCTGGGGCAGGGCAGTGCATCAACGATGATGATATAACTAGGGTGGCCACACCATTGATTATCCAAACTGCGATAATTTTGAGAGCAGTAGGATGATAGTAGTAGTAGTAGTGTCAGGACAGAAGGTGTAAACAGGGATTGTCCCAGACAAGCTGGAAGTATGATCACCCAGATAACAGTGGTCAACTCTGGTTGAGCCCCGACTGCCAGTCACTGTCTTATGTTGCTGTCTATGGGTCACTGCTTTGACCTATACAATAACCCAGTGTGGGAGCAATGGTTATTAGCTACTCTTCACAGAAGAAAGACACTGTGGCAGACATGGAAGGGAACTTACCCAACACAACACAATGAGGGGAGTGGGTGGGAGAGCTGGGGCCAGAATGCCGGTCCTTGGAATCCAGAGCTCTTGTTTGGGGCCATTACACCCTGTTGCCTCCCAGGGGAAGATCTCAGATCTTGGCATGGGACAAGATGAGATTCTGTTCCCAGCTCAGCTTGCAGTAATTTTAGTTACCTCTCTGGTTTGGTTTCTTCATTCATAGAATGATGACAATGCCTATTCCCAGTAACCCTGGAGTAGTAAGGGGAATAAGGTCTGAGAAGATCAGGCACAGTGTGTGTGTTTATAAGGTACTTGTCTTAGGAGTAAGATAGCTGCCAGTTTACTGTAGGCTTCCTGAGACATCTTCTCAAATAGCTACTATACAAAGTAAAAAGTGGCAAGTACCATAACAGAGTATGGAGTAAGGTCAACCAATGCCAAAGAGCCTATTGGTTAAAAGCATGAAATTTTTCATAACACCTGGGTTCAATCTGCTGTCAGATTTGACTATGTCAGATTTTCTTCTTTTTATTATTTTTCTAAGATTTTATTATTTTTTAAGTAATCTCTACACCCAATGTGGGGCTCGAGCTCACAACCCCGAGATCAAGTGTTGTATGCTCTTCCAACTGAGCCAACCAGGTGCCTCAACTATGTCAGATTTGAATGGAGTTTCTCCAAAGAAGATATGCAAAAGGACAATGAGCACAAGAAAAGATGCTCACCATCACTAGTCCTGAGGAGCATGTAAAACAAAACTCTGATGTCACTAAACACCCATAAGGATGGCAAAAGCAAAACAGACAAACAGAAGTATTGGTAAGAATATCTGATAGAGAAACTGAAACCCTTGTACTTTGCAGGTGGGATTATAAACCGGTACAGCCACTTTGGAAAAACACTTTGTGATAGTTTCTCAAAAATTTAAAGATAGAGTTACCATATAACCCAGTATTATACCCAGGAGAGAAGTGGTACTCGGGGAGAAATGGTATGATACTAAGAATTGATAACTGATACACAAATGGCATAGCAGCATTATGCTTGGTAGCCCCCAAATAGAAACAGCCAAAGTGTCCATCAACTGATGTGGTGCTTCGATACAGTGGAATATTATTCAGCCAGAAACAAAGGAATATGAAATACTGGCCCATGCTATAACATGTAGTAACCTTGAAAATGTGATGAGAGGTGAAAGAAGCCAGTTACAAAGGACCACACGTTGTGTGATACCATGTATATGAAATGCAGTTTGCCTCCAGAATAGGCAAATCCATAGAGACAGCAAATGGACTAGTGGTTGCCTAGGTTGGTTTGGGGGAGATGGGGAGTAACTGCTAATGGGTGCAGGGCTGCTTTGGGGGGGTGATGAAAATGTTATGCAATTAGCTAGCAATGATGGTAGTACGATTCTGTGAATGTACTAAAACCACTGAATTACATTCCTTACAAGAGGGAATTGAATGGTATGGGGATTATATCCCAATAAAGCTGTTATTTAAAAAATTCTGGCTCTGCTGTTGGTTATCTTCCATAAAATAGCACAAGTGACAGAGTCTAACTTAAAGAGCAGGTGTGAGGATCACATGAGAGATTGCATGTAGAATCTTGGCACAGCGACTGGTAGAGTGAATGTTCAGTAATTGATAGTGACAATGTTGATGATTTTCCTGAAACACGTGTCCTTTCTTTTGTCCATCCTGAAGCATAGGGTCAGTGGTGCTTTCAGCAAAACAGGCTGGGGATTCATGATGACTTGGGACACATGAAGACTGACCCTTACCCTAATACCCTCACATTGTGTGGGTCTCTGATGGAATAGCCTTATGGCTCTGATATCTGTTATTTATTTCTTAACTAATATAACTGAGTCCTTGCTCAAGATGTGCTCATGAAAAATTACCCTTTTAATGGTAGAGCATTTAATGAGAAACTGGATTATCTACTGCATAAGTGCCCTTCATACAAATTAGCTTGGCCCTGGGTCCTAATCTAAATTGGGCTCCTTCCTTTCCTCTAAATGGCCTAATATTTTCTTATTAATCTCTGCCCTCGTTCACCTGATCTGGCTCTGCCTCCTTATGAAGCATCCTCCTTGGTAGAGCTCTACGCCTTGACAAATGTTTCTTAAGACTGTCTTTGTATCTGACTCGTGGATGTTTTCTGGGACATGATGCGGAGGCTGGAAGTTGTTCCCATTTTCAAGCTGTCTCTCCAGTGGAGTTTTAATGCTGCCAATGTATTAGGTATCAACAGATTTGGGCCAGGTGAGTTTTGATACAATATAAAGATGGGGAAGTCAGGTAGAATGAGAAGCAATTAATCCTGGTGGTTAAGAGCGCAAGCGAAACCAGAAACCTGGGCTTTGGCATCAGACAGATCTGGGTTCAGGTCGCACTCAGTAACTTTGGACAAGTTACTTGGCCTCTCAGATGTTCAATTTAGATCCTCATTTATAAAAGCCTGAATGACAATACCTATGTCTAGGGTTATTTCTGGGGCTGAACAAGTTGGTGTATACAATGTGCTTTGAACAGAACCTGATAAATGCTACCCATACGTAAAGTTTGGAGAAGTCCCACACAGTGAAAGGGATTTGATTAGTGACTGAAATAGTGTCATGTGTTGAAGAGGCAGAGATGGTATTAGGGACAGAGTAACATAACCTTCCCAAGAACCGGAGCAAACTATAGGCCTCTCCTGCCCAACACTGCATGATAATGCAGAGAGAGGTGACATGTAGGTCCACAGCTGTGTTGTTGAGATAGATGTCTGTACAGGGTGTATCATGGCAAGTGTCTTCTTTGTTCTTAGCTTTAGTCTCCGACACTGCCCTCACAGAATCCTGAGGCTGAATTTTTACATTGATTATAGGTTCTGACTAATCATCCCTGTGTTCTATCTGCTTTGTGGAACATAATTCAAAGGCTTGCATATACCAGGAGTCAGCAACGGTACAGTGGGGAAAAGCACCAGCTGGAAATTGGGGGTATGGCTCTGCAGACATTTCTTTGGGCCCTCCTTGCCTCAGCACTGTATCTTCTACGTGCTTCTTTCACTGGGCTGGTAATAGTGTCGACAGCTACCATTTTCTGAGAACTTAGCATGTGAATCCGTGCTTCGCACATACTCTCCTCTAGAAGTTACTATTCACAATAAATCTGAATGTAGATATTTTATCCAATGAGCAGACCGAGGCTCCACAGACAGTTTAGTTGGGTTTTCAAGTGAGAAAGGCATGATTTGAAATGAGGATGTCCAACTAGAGCTGCTACCTTCTTACACAACTAACATAGTGCCTTGCGCATTTTTATTTTCAGTCACCCGAATCTTGAGCTTGTAGGAGCACAGACTTTGTCTTATACGTCTGTTGCAGTGAGTTACAGCATCTGGCACAGAGGAGACCCACCCTCAGTGAGGGACGATGGAATAAATAAATGAACCGCAAGTTTTTTTCAGTAGAAAAGCACTATGCTGTGGTTAACTATTGCTGTTGTTTTCCCTCTGTTTTCAGCTCAAATAATTCTCAATTCACATTATGGAAAGGCCTTAGTTTGCATGTCATATAGATAAAAGGAAGTAGGCTGAGTTCTCTCTCATGCACTCAGCTCAAAGGTTCTGCCCCATGACGGCAGGCTTGATGGAGGAGGTATTGTAAGTTCAAGTTCATGATGTTCCTGGACATGAGTATCAGAAGACTAGGGTGCTCTAGGTCTTAAGAACCACGTGTGCAAACTTTATGAAAATTTGATGATACTAGAAATTTTAATTCCTGTGCATTCATCTTTTTTTCTGACTGGGTGAACTTGGGACAAGCTCCTTGAATTCTGTGACCTTCATCTCATTATCTAGAAAATAGATATGGTTGAGTTTTTACGAAGAGTGGGGATCAAGTTTATAAAACATCTCCCATGAAACACTCAGTTCACAGAAACTTTACTGTCCTTATTTTATGTGGATGTATTTGAACGTCTGGTTGACATGTCCTAGCAAAATATTATGTTAATAATTATTGAGAAAGGCTGTTGCTGGATATGGGCCCACCATACCAAGTCGCCTATTTCTATACACACGTGAGCTAGCAGAAGAGATATTGTAAAACCATTTTTTTGATAATTGTCCCTGGGTCATTACTTGATGCAAAGCAATTACTCTGGAGTCCCACCATAAAACAGCCTATGGAATTGGGTGTAAGAAGGCCTTGGACCCTGGCCAAACTCATATTAAATGCTGGAAATGCCAAAGAAGCTCAGTGCTAATACTATTCTAACAAGAATGTCAGACATGAACTCTTAGTAGGTGATTATTATTTGTGGAATACCTGGTGTGTATTAAACTCTGTATTGGGCTCCTTACACATGTTGTCTGATTTAGTTATCTTAATGCCCCCCTGGGTTGGTTACTTTTAACTCTTTTTTTTTTCCTTTTGCCTGAGAACACAGAGGCTCAGAGAAAAATAACTTGCCTCTGGGTTTAAAAGGATGGAGTCAAAATTTGCATCCAGGAGAACTAGCATTCTTTTCTACTCGGTCCAGTGATTTGACTTTCTTAGAACATAAATGAAACCAGAGAACAAATCTCGATACTATGGGTATTTAAAGACAGTGGGACCTGAATGCGTACATGCCTGAATCCTGATTTTCTCTGTTTTTAGGCCAGGATCGCAGTGAAGCCACTTTGATAAAGAGGTTTAAAGGTGAAGGGGTCCGGTACAAGGCCAAGTTGATCGGGATTGATGAGGTTTCTGCAGCTCGGGGAGACAAGTTATGTCAAGATTCCATGATGAAACTCAAGGTGCTGTGCAAACACTTTACTTTCAATATCACAGATTTTATAGGACTGAGGGAAGGGAGTGATTATGATCATTATGATAAAACTTTTTACTTATTCATTTAGTAGTAAATTATTTGGTTCACTGATGAATCACTGAATGTATTCATTGGGAAGAGATTTCAATCGTTATGAAAATGTTTATTGAGCGCCTACTATGTGGAGATATTTTGCTGGGGCCCAGTTTTATAACTTCTGAGCATATCACCTTTTATTCAATGTTATCTTCTTTGCACAATGCCTGCAAAAAGAAAAGTAAAATTGTCAAATTTTATAGTCCCTCAGATTTTATGAATCTTTGCCCCTTTGTTATTTTTTAATACATTTTAAATATTTTACCATATGGTAAATATGGTAAAAGATGCTATGTTAAGATAAAAGCTAATTTTATTCATTCTTATCATTCCTATTAATGTTTTCAAACACTTGTAAAAGAAAAATATTTTTTAAAGTAATATGTAATGAGATTGTGGGATTTGGAGATATCACAGAGAAGTTTCTTTTTTTTTTTTTTTTTTTTAATTTTTTTATTGTTATGTTAATCACCATATATTACATCATTAGTTTTTGATGCAGTGTTCCATGATTCATTGTTTGTTCATAACACCCAGTGCACCATGCAAAACGTGCCCTCCTCAATACCCATCACCAGGCTAACCCATCCCCCCACCCCCCTACCCTCTAGAACCCTCAGTTTGTTTTTCAGAGTCCATCATCTCTCATGGTTCGTCTACCCCTCTGACATACTCCCCTTTTCTTCCTCTCCTGTTATCTTCTTCTTTTCCTTTTTTCTTAAAATATGTTGCGTTATTTGTTTCAGAAGTACAGATCTCACAGAGAAGTTTCTGATAGTAAATGCTTTAAAGAAGACCTTTTTATTGAGAAATCTAAGAAAGAAATTGGAAAAAAATTAATATACACAATAAAATTATGTTATTAAATGGCCTTTAAAACATGAAAAAGAGCATTGTTTGCTCCCGCATTCTGGTCTTCATATAGTCTATGTTTCCATCTTTTAAAAAGCAATTTAAAACATTGAAAAAACAAATGAGTTAGCAAGAAGTCTACAAAATACCTAAAGCATTGAACACATATAATTTAATTATATTCCCAATTATAGAATTCACAAAATGTTCATTGTAGAATATTTTGAAAATACAGAAAAATATAAGGAGAAAAATTGAAGTCATCCATAATCCCACCACCCAAAGAAAATCAGTGTCTACATTTTTGTGTGTAACTTAATCTGTCTTCATATCTGTATGTATATTATATGAATTATAAACATATGTAATACAATTGGAATTACTATTATACAGTCTTATATCCTGGTTTTTTTCCTCATCTAACACAATATTATGAGAATTTTTTTCATATCTTCCAGTAGTCCCTCAGGACACAAGTTGGTCAGTGTAATTTTTTTTAATGTAAGAAAGGAGGAAGAAAAGAAAAAAAAAAATATATGTGTATATATGCAAGGCTGGCCAAGTTCCTCCAAGTACAGACTGGGACAGTATCTATAAAACATCCTCTAGTTGCCTTTTCTTTCCTATTTGCTTAATAAATCAGAGCTATTATTTTTATTTATACTATACAAATTTTCTCAGCAGTTTAACATGAATATCAGATGCTAAGTCTCCTTGTAGTATGGCTGTAGGAATCATTTTAAAAAAATCTTAATTTTCTTTCTTTTAATTTTTTGAAAAGATTTTATTTATTTATTTGAGAGAGAGAGAGCAAGCATGAGCTGGAGGGGAGAGGGAGGAGAATCTGAAGCAGATTCTGTGCTTATCACAGAGCCCAACCACAGAGCTCGATCCCGTGACTGCGAGATCATGACCTGAGCCAAAACCAAGAGTTGGCTGCTTCACCAGCTGAGCCACCCAGGCACCCAAAAATCTTAATTTTCTAAACTGTGTACCCATTATTTTTTAGCTGTTACATAAGCAAACTTTATTTTAATAGTTATGTATCTATTATGAAGTATACTAGAAAAAGGTGAAATCATGATTTGACAGATTATCACCTTGGGAAAGGTTAATGTTTTCTTTCTTTTCTTTTCTTTTCTTTTTTTCTTTCTTTCTTGCTTTCTTACTTTCTTTGCTTTCTTGCTTTCTTGATTTTCTTGCTTTTCTTTCCTTTCTTTCTTTCTTTCTTTCTTTCTTTCTTTCTTTCTTTCTTTCTTTCTTTCTTTCTCTTTCTTTTTTTCTTTCTTTCTTTCTTTTCTTTCTTTTCTTTCTATAATTAAGCAATGTTATGAGATTTCAGGGCAATCCAGTAATGAGCTCTCTTCTTCTGCTAAGCCCAAATCTGATAGGTAAGTAGATAACAAAGTCTGACAGGAGGAATTCTAAATTCCAGCCTTATGACTGATAAATGCTGGAATGCAGGAGGTGACGTGGATACATGGCCACAGTGGGCATCCTCAAAAGAGACAGGCTGTTCCACTTAGTTTGTGGAGCAGTTGGGTAACTGCATCCCTTCCTATCCCCACCAGCCCCCGTCCGGCCCCAGAGTAGGACCTGTGATTCATTACTGAGATCAGACCAGAGAGAACCCAAAAGAGACTGAGCCTGGAGTCCTCAGCCTCCCTCCAGACTCCCATCAGATAGAGCCATGCCTTCTTTCCCAAGGAGACCCTAGTCAGCGATAGGGATGAAGGCCAAGATCTTCATTTTGCTGAAGTCCCTCCTTGCTGAGTATGAGGCAGGCAAATGAAGATTTGCTCCTGACAAATGTTAATTAAAGGACATCAGGAAAAATCTCCCAACAGCCTGGTTCTCACCCAGAGCCATAAGTAAGTCTGCTAAGGAGCTGGTGCTTCTTCTCCCAGCATCCTGGTAGATAGCCATTCACCAGGCACGTGTCCCAGAGCACCTTGTCGGCCCGCTGCCTTCATGGAAGCACTGAGGTCTAAGTGGCTTGGAGCAGGAGTCTGCCTCTGCACCCTGAAGGTTCTCTGTCCACATTCATGTTGACTCAAGCTAGCTGGACCAGGCCTGGTGATGACTGCTGACCTTGTGTGTGTGCATGTGTTACCTGCAGTGAGGTGCCCCATCTGTCATCCCTCAGAACTGTGAGGTCCTCAAAGCCCCGAGAATTTGTCCTGCTGTAACACACTCCTGTCACATGCACTGAGCTCATTGAGGGGTTCTTGGTTCCCAGACAATTGTGTTTCATTATTTGCAAGTTGCTGAGAAGAATGTTGACATTTCAGCTCCCAGTGGTTTTTCTTTAGGAAACAGAAACATAAATGATCGATTCTCCATTTGGCCACCTGCCCAGGAAAGAAAGAGGCAGAGAAGTACAAAATGCCTGTTAGCCTTGCAAAAGGGCCCACTTGTTCACGTTAGGCCATATGAGAAATAAAAAGGAAATCTGCTTTCCTTTGCAAGGCTCTTTGAGGCTGGTACCTTTTCCTGTTTGAGAGAGTTTTCATTTGGGTTATAGAGATTTGAGAGGAGATTTCATATTCCGAGTATGAGCGGGCTGTCACCTGTCCTCCAGCAAAACACCATTATCATCATGTTTTAATTTAGAGTCAACATAAGCATTTTCCCATATATCACCTCTTTTGATCTTGTGAGATAGATATTAGCCTCTCTGTTTTATAAATAAGAAATCTGAGGTTCATAGAAGTTAAAGGATTTGCCCCAGAACCTTCATTTAACCTGTTGTAAGCCCGATCTCTGGATGCCCAGTGTTTGATAAGACACAGTTTAGTCCTTACTTATATTCTTTTTTGTATCTGCATTTAATTTATCTTGGCTCCCCAATGAGATTTTAAGCCCTTACCGGTAAGTTACCCACACATCATTGACTTAGAAAGTAGTCAGCTTGTAGAGACGTTGGGCAAAATGTGCTGGTTGAAACTCTAGGAGGGGATGAGATCTCTCAGAGACAGTGCCTGGAGGGCTAATTACAGAGCTCTAAATATGTCAGCTGGGGTCCTCTAAGAAGCAGAGCCCACCCTGGCTAGGTCAGATGAGGACACTTTAATGAAAGAGCCATTTAGAAAGGATAGGTGAGGTTAAGTAAGGGAGCAAGGAATGGTGAAGCTCCCAGGAACCTACAACAATAGAAAGCAGCAACCACCCTAGGAGGAAATATATTTACTGAAGCCCATGGAGAGCAGGATTGAGGAGGAAGTCCCCTCCCTCACCAAGCAAAAATAGAGACCCTGCCAGAGATGTAGCACAAAGAAGGAAAGAATGCAGATGGAATACCCTGACTTCTCTCTCCATCCACCCTCTGATCTCCTGCCTCTCTTGCCCAGAGGACCAGGGAATGCACTCCACAGGGACCAGGCTCTAGGCACAAAGCAGAGTAGAGGAGAATATTTAAATTCTTTTTTTTTTAACTGGGAAAAGTGAGATTTGGGGTGAGTTTTGTTCCAAAGCTTGTATAGCTAATAACTAGGATGACTGAGATTGGAGACCAGCTTGTTTTTTTTAAATCATGGAACATTCTAGAATAGCATTGTAGGTTTTCAGCCATTCATGTCTGAAGCCTTTTGTGTTTTCCTACCTGCTTTACAGGATCCACTGAGATCACGGCCATGCACCATGCAGGGTGGGGTTTCTCAGAGCCCTTTCCTGTACTTCCCCTTATCTCATCCTCAAGGGACCTCTGAGCTGGACAGGGCAGCCAGTCTGACCCTTTGTGTATCACTTCCTTCATGGAGATACCACCTATGTGTGACTCCCTGAGGGATGCCTGTGTCTGTCATTTCACAAGTGCCTGGCACATGGCATTGCTTCATGGTATGAATGTTAGTACGAGTAATAATGATGACTGTCATTCACCAAGCTCTCCCGACATGCAACACACTGTGCTAAGTGCTGTATGTGCATAACTGTTTTCAATATCTGGTAAGAAATATGATTATTATTATTTTTTTAAAGATTTTATTTATTTATCTGAGAGAGAGAGAGAGAGCGAGTGTGAGAAGGGGAAGGGTCAGAGGGAGAACCAGGCTCCCTACCGAGCAGGGGGCCCGATGCGGGACTCGATCCCGGGACTCCAGGATCATGACCTGAGCCGAAGGCAGTCGCTTAACCGACTGAGCCACCCAGGCACCCGAAATATGATTATTTTCATTAAAGTTTCCCTTCACTGTGGAGTCTGGGGGCTCATGGTTCCACCTGGCTGTTTGCAGAACAATTTTGACATATCTGTAGGATATCGTGTAGTCTTTTTGTTTTCCCAAAAAAAAAAAAAAAAAAAAAAGCTCTTAAGGAAGGTTGTAATAGAAGGAAGCCCAACATGGGGATCTGAAAGATGGCTGTTTGAATTTTCTCTCTGTCTTATTAGTTCCTTGAGGTTTCAGGAGGTCACTTCAGCCCCCGGCCTTATGTTTCCTTACATGTAAGTTAAGGGAGATGATTTTCACTTTCCAGGACTATGGCCTGGGCTAAGTTATATGATAGGGAAGAGAACCTATAGCACGTAAGGGTCGGTCCCCAAGAAAATGCTTGACTGTACTTTCCAGATTTCCAACCGCGACTGACTTGGTCAGGTGGCTGATGTGAGGTGCTGAGCCCCAAAGGGCACCTACCTCCACATCTTCTGGCGCCCCTAGTCCAAGCTGTCTCCCGGACCTCTGCTGGTTCTCCGTCCCGGCAGTGAATAATCTTGTGGGGAGATGAGACCGTGAGGCGTGGTGTCTACTGGCAAACTTGCTTGGCCTTAGCGCCGTTTTTCAGAGCTTGACTCAGGGTCCTCTCTCACAGGAGAAACCTGCTTGATCAAATGGAGTTTTACTTCCCCAAAGACAGCCCTGCTCGGAGAGTCCCTCCCTCTTTCACTTGTCATGGGAAGCCACAAGCAGCAACCCCAGGCAGGAACACGCCTGGAACACGTGCGTGTGCTCTTTCTGTTCTTTCCATCCTGTTTTGTGTACGGCTGCATTCTGCTGTGAGAGGGGGCAGTGATTCAGAGAGCTAAGGACTAGACGAGGAGGACTGTTTTGGGGATGGAGACGTTGAAGTCTCTCTCCTTGATCGAAGGTGCCGCCCTCTCCCCACCAAGACTGTGATGTTCTCTCCTAAGAGGAGTTAAACAGGAAAGAAGCGCTCCCTGCCCCTTTGATACAGTCCCTCCAGTCTTTCCGTTTACGATGGAGCCACTTCTCGTTCTCTTTTTGTGTTATGTCTGGAGATCTGACGTTGGAGGTTCAACTGCAGAGGTACCAGGCATCAGGTATTTTATTCCAAATCCAGCCAAGAACCCAGCATTCAAAGTGAAGTTTCCCAGGGTTCAGAGTCTGGCGGGCCCACTCCCAGAAGGAGGGAAAGTCCCTTCCCCTTTCAAGTGCCTGCTTGATGCTGGGCACACAGAATGGATAAAACAGAGTTGCGGGCACAAATGAGCTTTGGTTCCATTGGGCATAAGGCAGACAGTTGCCAGATGAACAAATACACAGGTCAGATGGCAGTAAGGACCAGTGAGGAAAAGGGAAGAAAGGAGAAAGAGTGAGGTGCAAAGGGGGAGGGGTTTGGAGACAGTGTCCCCCACAGGATGGCATTGGAAATAAGAATTACCCCCGGGGGCCGCAAAAACATACTTTGGCCATTCTCCCCGTGTTTCTTAGAATCACCCCTCAGTGAATTCACGGGAAAGCAAGTGGGGAAAGCACAGTGGGGACTCTAGAAACCTCCCACTAAGCAGGGCACTTACAGGGACAGAGGACTTAACTTTGGGGCGTGAGTCCCTCTCTTTAACTATTTGGAGGACAGGCATTGCAGGAGGGATCTCTGGTCACTGAGTGGCAGCCCCTCAAAGAGCAACACTGGGGAGGGTTACCCAGAGAGGTTTTGACTTGCTAGAAAGAAGCCACCATGTAAAGGATTAAGTGCTCCCTGCACCAGGAGTCTGGAGAGCTGAGTTGTAGGCTCAGCTCGCCACCAGCACCCTGGACCACCTCAGCACTGCCCACCCCCACCTCCCAGACCTCATTTTCCTCATCTGTCAGCTGGAAATTAGCAAGATTTTCTTTAGCTCTGACATTCTGTGTGTCTACAAGAGGGTGTAAGTGGTGCTCAAGAATGAATGGGTGACTCAGGAGGGAGTGAATTTCCTACTGGGAGGTCCCCAAACAGGAACCAGAGCACAGACTTTCAGGGACAGTCATTCATTTACCAGAAGAAGTTAATTTTCATGATATCCCTGTAGTGTTCCAGGCACCGTACTAGGTACTTGACCTAAATTTTCATTTAATTCTCTCCCCCATGCAAGGATAGTGTTTACACTTGAGGAAGTGACAGTGAGAATTAAGTCATTTGCCCAAGATCAGAGAGAGCCAGGAGCATAAGCCAGCCGCCCGGATTGCACAGAACATTTCCGGTACCCAAAGTGATGATAACCAAACAGCCTCTAGGGGATGCCTCATCTCTGTGCCTTCTGGACATCCCTGTTCCTAACACTGCTGGTTCTCTGACACCGAGGTTGTGAACATGCTCTTCTGACAGATGCACAGATGACTTTTATCTCCCAGAAACATGATGTCATGATTATTTTTGACTTTTCTACTCCTAGAAGCCCAGAACTATAACTGCTGATAGTTGGGCTTGATCTTGTACTCAGGGCAGGCTGATAGCAACGAAGGGGCTAGAAGCTCCAAAACACGTAATGCAGAGATAGGAACACTCCCCCACCCCGAGTATAAATCCCTTGGAATGTCCTCACCCTCTAAGTGGTACCCTCATATGAAGCCCATGCTTACCTGTCACTGGCCACCACAGAAGCTAGTTTAAAAAGCAAGTGTCTTCGTTCTTAACTTGCATCATATCAACTTTGGGAGAGTTCTGGATAAAACATTCATCTCACAAGAATGACAGAGTGCCTCTTCTAGGGACTGTCCTGGGCACTGAGGATAGAGCAGTGAGCAGGGCGACACCCATGCCTTTTGTGATGTTTTACCTGCTAACTGGCTCATATACGTAGCTTTGGTTTATAAAAAGTTTGGAAAAGTGGGGAAACAGAGGCACTGATAAATAAATGGAATGCATTTGGTAGGTACCTTCCTGCCGAAAAGAGTAAAGGAAAATAGAAAACGAGGGTGGTTAAAAACTGCAAACCGTGGGGCGCCTTGGTGGCTCAGTCAGTTGAGCATCTGCCTTCAGCTCAGGTCGTGATCCCAAGGTCCTGGGATCGAGTCCCACATCGGGCTCCTTGCTCAGCAGGGAGTCTGCTTCTCCCTCTGACCCTCTCCCCTCTCATGCTCTGTCTCTCTCTTTCAAATAAATAAAATCTTTTTAAAAAACTGCAAACTATAAGCATGGAACTCTGATGATCATGTTTTTCCAGACCAAAGGGAGACATGCAGTCTGGCAATGGTTTTTATTTTCTTTCTACTCTCTAAAATCAATTCCCATGAAAACTTTTTCCAGAAGTAAAGATTTAGGAATATATTCTGTGACTCCTCTTTATTTAATAGATTGAAACCATATACAGTATGAAGCCCAGCAACATATTATTAATAAAAGGATCATATCACGTTTATCTTGGGGTCTTGAATTCTGAACCAGATATCTAGGCACAAAGGAGGCATTCTATAAATCTTGGGTAGTCGTGTGAATCAGTGTTCAGGTATCTATTTATACAGTGTTAGATATAATGGTAGGGTAACCATTACCCTAGAATATCAAGAAGAGGCAAGCATGTCGGGCAGGGAAGCATGGAAGGGGCAAAGAGAGAGCAGTGTGGATGATTGGTGGCATTGGTGGATGGTATCTGACATGCCTTTGGGACTGGAAGGAATCTTCAAATGAAAACACTCGAGGGGTGTCTGGGTGGCTCAGTCGTTAAGCGTCTGCCTTCGGCTCAGGTCGTGATCGCAGGGTCCTGGGATCAAGCCTCACATCGGGCTCCCTGCTCTGCGGGGAAGCCTGCTTCTCCCTCTCCTACTCCCCCTGCTTCTGTTCCCTCTCTCACTGTGTCTCTCTCTGTCAAGTAAATGAATGGAATCTTTAAAAAAAAAAAAAAGAAAGAAAGAAAACACTCGAGTAAAAACCATGTCCTTCCTTCCAACAGGGCGTTGTTGCTGGTGCGCGTTCCAAAGGAGAACACAAGCAGAAAATCTTTTTAACCATCTCCTTTGGAGGTATCAAAATCTTTGACGAGAAGACAGGGGTAAGTAAAAGAATCACATGGCATTGTGAAATTGAATCCATTGACAGATGTGCCCTTAAAAGCCTCTACTCTCTGGGCAGGAATATCAAACAAGCATAAAAACACATAAAGTGACTGACAAACTCGATCAACTGTGATCGTCCATCAAAGGCAGGCTCTTCCCTGACTTGGCCACTGTGTTTCTAACAGTGTGATTGTGATAAAAGTGTCACACAGGCCCAGGAATCTAACGGGAGATTGATGAGCTTTGAAGCGCAGTGGGTAATGGGACAGTTTAAGTTAAATTTCTTTGTGTGGTGGCAACTTTAATGACATGCATCCTAGAGGGAGACACATGAAAGTCTTTTGACTTGGTCCAAGCCTCCAGACTCTCCGGAGTTTACCCTGTGCCACTTTGCGATTACTGTAATCAAAAAGAATAGAGTTTTCAACCTTAAAAAATTCTGTCACTGCATGACCAGGAAATGTCAGGGCTGATGTGTTTGTTGAACCCACCAAGGAAGTGGTTTGTGTTTTCCTCAGCACCCCCAGCAGCAGTTAGCTCCAGCATTCATCCCTGGGGCTGTCCTGACATTGGTGGTCCTGTTTATTGATGATAAGGGAAAAACAGAAAAATGTTCTAGGCTCTGTTTAGTCCAGAGAGCAGGAGTCAAATGGATGTGTTTTTTTTTCCTTTTATTCATTCAGTGTTTTACAGCTTATAAAACACCTTTACATATATCACCTCCTTTGCACTTCCCAACTTAATTTTCAAGTGTTGTAGATGCCAGACTCAACCAGTCAAGATACCCAACCTTAGTCATTTTGCATTGTACTTTCTTCCCTTCGTTCTGACTCCTATTAGGATCCCATACAGGTAGGATGATAATTTAACAGTAAAAATAGGTTTTGAAGAAAAGGTATTTCTGAATAATTAGTAATAGGACAGGTATTTGTCTACCCAGATTCACAGCAGCTTTATTCACAGGAGCCAAAAGGTGGAAGCCACCCAAGCGTCCATTAGCGGATGTGCAGATACACAAAATTGGGTGCCCGCCTCCAATGGAATATTATTCTGCAGCAAAAAGGAAGGAAGTTCTGACACGTGCTACTACACAAAGGAAACTTGACGACATTATACAAAGTGAAATAAGCCAGTTATAAAAAGGCAAATTCTGTACGATTCCACTTCTGTGACCTATCGAGAGAAATGAAATTCAGAGAGACAGAAAGTGGAACGGTGGTGGTGCGGGCCTGCAGGGGCAGGGGGGTGTGTGATGAAGAGTGAGTGTTTAGTAAGTATGGAGTTACTGTTTGGGAAGAAGAAAATGGCGCTCGTGATGGATGGCTGGGGGGACTGCACAACGCTGTCCATACACTGCCACACCCCTGAACCAACTGTATGCCAAGAAATACTCAGAATGGTAAAATTTTAGTTACGTGAGGTTTACTGCCATAAAAAAGAACTAGTGATAATAATTTCCATTCATGGTGTACCTACTGTATACTACGTGCGTATTAATCACGTGACGTACATGATTCAGTTTTGCCCTCACAGCAGTCTTATGGGAAAATAACAACTTCATCAAGCACATAATATGTGCCAGGCATTGTTGTGAACCCTTTGCAAGAACCAACTCTGTTGATCCTCACGACAGCCCTGTGAGGTAGATGGCAGTATCCTCTCCATTTTATAGCTGGAGATACTGAGGAGAGAAACGTAGATGTAATTTATTGAAAGTAAGCGGTGGTTGGAGACAGGATTAGAATCCAGGTTGGTCTGGCTTGTGAGTCCTCTCACGTAAGCTTGCTGCCTGTTATTTCTCAGAATAAGTGACTTTGCAAAGGTTACCAGCAAGTAGGAGGCAAAACTGGGATTTGGCCTCCCGTTGGCCCGAATATGAGGGCAGTTGAGCTCTCTGTCATCGAGAAAGGTTGGCCTCCCTGGGGATGCCTTGGGAAAAGGGAGTTTAGAATGAGGGCGCAAGCACAGGGAATAAAGGAGCTTGAATGCAACAAGATTAAGAGCCTAATGAAAGTCTCCCCTGCCTTAATAAAAATACAGTTTCTGAAGCCAGGGAAGTTTTTCCTTCTCTTGGGTAGACTACTGTTTGGAGACTTGTGCTCAGTCTTGAACCTCACACTTGAAGAAGGACACAGGCAAATCAAAGAGTGTCCTGATGAGGGGGGCTATGACAATTGGAGGACTAGCAATTACGTTGAACCAAGACTTCTCAACACAGGTGTAGCCTCCTAGGCTCCTAGGTACACACAAGAGGCAAGGAGCTGTGGGCTTGTAGAACTGTTAGGATGTCATTGATCCCCTTACCATCTTTATTGGAGGGAACCAAGTAATGTGGACCAAGCCTAACCAAGAGATTTATATGCCCGAATACTACGTCATCATCTCTATTGTCTGCCTGCCACCACGACAGCTGATATAACCAAAGGGAAAGGAGTGAGGTAGAGTGTCAGATACTTTATCTTGTCCTGGGGCCATGTTTTTGGGCATTGCTGTTCCATTAGGTAGCTCACCATCAAATAAGCTGTGCCCAGATCATGAAAATCCCAATCAGTAAATTTTAACTCATAAGGAGAGAGAGTTTGTATTCTTGGCCTAGATCTAAATCCTCAGTCAAGGGTGGCTGACCTGGCCCAGAAGAAAGGTACCACCAAACTCTCTAATGCTATTTTTGATTCTTCAGCTGGACACAAAAAAGAACAACAGTAAAATCATTGTTTCAGCTCAAAACCATTTGACTTTGTGGAAAAAATGTCCGATCCCTGGTGGAGGATCAGGGAGAAGGCAGAGTGGGATGTTTTCTGTTTGGCTTATTTCACTCCAGTTACGTTTGATTCATATTAGGCCCCGGTAGCATCTGGCTTCTGCAACCTGAGCTTGTTAGTATGTCTCAACACAAGTCTACGGAAAGCTAGTAGAAGGGATTGAATGTTTTAAAGCGCAAAGCAGAGACAACAGAGAGCCGGACACCCCCTACTAATAGTGTTCATCTCTCCAAAGAGTTGTGTAGTAGCAGAAGGAGCTGACTTGTTCTGTATGACCCAACAAATAGAACCAAGGTCGGGTAATAGAAGATTCTTTGAATCAGTGTCAGTTTATGAGGAGGAGGAATTTTCTACCAGTTAGATGGACCACCTTCTGTGCTAGCAAGTTCCCCATCACTTAGGAGTATTCAAGCAACAACCATATGAAGGGAAAATTGTGGAAGGGAGCCAAGTAGAGAATGAAGTATTGAACAAAGTCACATCGAAGTTGAATCCTGAGACTAGTTTTAAAATTCTGTTTCTTCCTTAAAGTCATCCCTGTTGACGTGATTTATCTTCAGACAAATGGAGGTTTTTCAAACTCCATTGGAGATTATGAGCAACAACAGTTTACTAAACCTTTGTTGTTGCCCAACAGGGGACCAACTGAATTGTGCCGGATAAGAGTTTAAGTGAAGTGTTTTGTCCTACATATCAACGAAATGGAAAACTGGGTTTTGTCATTTGGAATGACAAATTTTTGTTGTTTATCATATCTAAAGTATTCTCAAGCTTGACTGCATTTTTGTTCCAACCAGAAAAAGAAACATTTGCAGAACGTGACAATAGCTAGAATTTTAAAATCCAAAAGCTGTCAAAAATGTTTTGATCCCAATTAAAGAGACCCTTTGCAGCAATTTACACCTTGTCTTGAATTTCAAAGGGTTCTTGATCCCAATCCTTACATGAGTAAATTCTGTTTTATTATTAGCATGTTGCAGGGAATAAATCAATATTGAAAAGCTGTTCGTATTTTCAGAGAGCTAGGTATTGATAATGTGTCAAAGGGATCAGTGAGAATGCAGAAAATGTCATATATAAACTCATTGTTGTTGGTAATAGTAGGCGCTGTAGCAAATCAAGAGTAGATGTGGTTTCATATCAATGTTACTAAGTCCTCAAATCAGACCTGTGGGTACTAAGGCAGGAGTGAAGTCATCTTCATTTTGCAGATAAACTGAGATTTTGGGAGTGCCTTTGACTTGGCTGTAGACTCAGAACAAACCTTCCAATTTCAAATCTTCTGTCTTTCCAGGGAAACTCATTGACTTCTCTCTTGATTTACAGTTTTATTCCATAGAATTGCTATAATTTTATGCCATAAAAAAATCATAAATATTGCAGGACCCTGATAACAAGTCTGTTTCTCAAGACAGAGGGCAGTAGTCTGCATCAACTTTTCAAATATCTTGTTGCCATAATCACATGTAAATTTTGATTGTTCGTTTGGTTTAGCCAACTCTGATTTGGTACTACTATATGTACCATCTGAAGTGCATTACAATAATTCTGTGAAGTCGGTGCTATTGTTATCACCATTTTACAGTTGAGAAAACTGAAATCCAAATTAAGTCCCACAGTAAATTAAGTAGCAAGAGCTGAGATTCAACCCCAGGCAGTCTGACCCAGAAGCCGTGATGCTAGTAAGATAGCACTAATAATAACAAACCTGCCTCAGTCTGTTCGGGCTGCTATAACAAAAATACCATAAAGGAGGTGGCTTATAAATAACAAACACTTCTTTTTCACAGTTCTGGAGGTGAGGAGTCAGATATCATGGCCCCAGCAAATTCGTTGTCTGGGGGGAGAACCCACTTCCTCATAGCTGGTGCCTTTTTGTTGCTTTCTAGAGCCTCTGTTATCAAGACACTAATCCCATCCAAAAAGGGCTCCACTCTCATGATCTAATTCCCTCCCAAAGGCCCCACCTCCTAATACCATCCCCTTAAGGTCTAGAATTTCAACATAGGAATTTGGAAGGGGGAGGACATAAACATTCAGACCATAGTAATACCAAATTTTATAAATGATGTGCTTTTATATATAGTAGAGCAGATTCAGTATTCTCTCTGTTTTATTGTCACCATTATTCATTTTCATGCTGGTGACCTTTCCTGAGGGAAGGTACAAGGAATGGAGTTACCACTAGAACTGTCTTGTGGATGGAATGTTGCCTGTGTAACCAGTATGTGGTT